CTTCAAGAATTGGCTAAAAACACATCTCTTCCATCTTTATTTGATCCTCTAACTCTAGCACTCTCTATTCTAATCCTATATAAAAAAAATAAAATAAATAAAAAAAAAAAAACTAACACTAGCTTTTCTAATATTTTTGTATTCTATCTATTTGTTTTATTTTTATTTTATACAATTAACAAAAGCAAAAAAGGCCTCACTAGCTTGCTCTATTATTTTTCTATTCTATCCGTTTTCTTTTTATTTATTATATGATTTTAAAAAGACCTAGCTACGTGTACTGCATTAAGCTAACTGAGACTTGTTATAGCACTTGCATATCATTGCTCTTTTGTTGATTTTGATTGCTTCCATTGTCCTCATTTGTAAGTCGCTTTGGATAAAAGCGTCTGCTAAATCACTAAATGTACATGTATATGTAAATGTAATAGTTAATTGTCAAATTGTCCTAGTTAGCCAAGCCCAGTCTAAAAACACACAAAAACTACAGACACTTCATATCTAATGGTATTTAATTATTTGTAAATTACACTTACCAGACTCTTTCAAGAGAACATTTGCAATTGGTTTGTGAAAGGTGTCTTAACATGCAATAACATGTCGCTAGCGTGTGATGTTTAGAGTCTTTTAGTGAAGCAATTAATTTAATTGTTTCGGAGTTTCAAAAAGCTCTGTTTCTCCCATCACTATTCAGTAAAATTGTTTGTAAAACTTGCATTTTAATTCCAAAATGTAATTCTTACCATGGAAAACTGGTTTTAGAAACAGTTGGAAATGTTTCTGTTTTTGAGCTAACTCAACTTTTAGCCAAGCCATTTAGACAATAATAGGCATTATGTGATTACTGATATATGGAAATAATCTTCACTCTTAAAAATAAAAATTCCTTAAAAGGCTTTTCACAGCGATGCCATAGAACAACCATTTTCGGTTCCACAAAAACCATTCAGTCAAAGGTTCTTTAAAGAACCATCTCTTTCTTACCTTTTTATAATCTGAAGAACCTTTCGCCACAAAGAACCTTTTGTGAAACAGAAAGGTTTTTCAGATGTTAAAGGTTCTTTATAGAACCATTTAGACAAAGTTCTTCTATGGCATCGTGAAGCACCTTTATTTTTAAGTGTTGTTGGCCAATTAAAAAGAAGTATTAGCTTCCCTTTTATCCTCTTGATGCTTGAAATTCAATTGTATACATCATGTGTATACAATTAAAACACTTGCTTCATATGATCCTAAAAACCTTTTGATCTAAAGGCTACTTAAATGCCTGATTATGTTACAAATTATTATGTGTCCGATTATGGTTTTGTGGACAAGGCTAACACATTTATTGTGGTATTCTTATGTTGGTAGTGGGTCAATCACAATAACCTCTATGTATGTTATTCATATTGGTCATTACATATTTCCTATACTTCTATTTGTTGTCTATTTTGATGCCTCGAACCATAACTACTTAAACAGTCTCCTGGTTTTAAATTAGTTTTTGTCTGTGTGTGAGATGCTGCATTTGTAATCTAGACATGAACACAGTCATAATGTTATCTTTGCAGAGAAATGTTTTTGTTCTGTTTGAAGCTTGACATCATGCACTCTCACTATATATGCATAAGAGCAGTGACTCAAAAATTTCTACTTTTGTGTTTGACAGAAAATAACTAAATTAATAAATAAACAAACAATTTTTTTTATTTTCGAGTGAACTATAATTTAAAAGTGAACTATGTAATTTGCCATCTTTCATTTCCACACATGAATAAAACAAATTCAAACGGACATCTTTTAGATGTATTCATATAGGTATTTATTATGCCTATATTCCACATTGCGTTGTTATATTACATCTTTAGTGGTCAAACTGTCTATTTTCCAAATGCTTAAAACAATTAAAATGTACAGTATAATTATTGCAGTTGAACCAGAGGTTTCACACTCTATAGGAAAGTGCATGTCACCATCCAGTCTTTAGAGGATGAACAAGGAAGATTCTTTCAGGAAGTTGGATCTTTAGTTGCTTTACTGTCCGTTTCAGCATCTGCTGGACTGGATGCTGCAGGACAGCTTAAGTTCTCTGGCTTCTTCTCAATGTCTTTAGTGTACGGTTCCCCCTGAGGGAGATCTTCACTGGAGGGTTTCACAATCTCCTCAGCAGGGGAAGTGTCTTGTGGAGGCGTCTTTGATAAGGGACTTGTATCATCAGGACACAAAGAAGCAACGCTCTCCTCCTTCACGCCAGGAAATGTCCGGTCTGGATACAAGAGTTTCAGCTGTTCCTCAAAGTAACTCTCCAGATTAGCACCCACATTGGCCATCTCAGTGTCTTCCTACAAACAAAGTGAATACACAACATTACACGTCACATTGTGATATGCCTCATTCAAGCTGTACCACTGTTTGTACCACCGTTCAGAAGAAATTCATATAGGTCTGAAACAACTGAGGTTAAGTACATGACATAGTTTAAAGTAGGGATGCACCGATACCACTTTTTCCAGTACTCGCCCGATACCGATACTTTTATTTTTGATTGCATGCATACATATACTTTGTAGTAGACACCCTTAACTCCTTTCTGCTGTCTGTTGTTCTGTTGTCGGTGTTTCTTTGTCTGAATATGGCACTTATCACATGCTGTGTGGTATCGGCGTTTGGTATCGGGGCATTTTAACGAGTACGAGTACGAGTACAGGAGCTCAGTATCGAGCTCAGTAGTGCATCCCTAGTTTAAAGGGTTAGTTCACCCAAAAAATTCTGTTAAAACATTTATCACAACCTTCAAACAGGCTTTGGTTAACACAACACATTATCTAGCAGTCAATTAACCTATAAAACTTACTGAACTGAATGTAATGGTAATGATATCAGTCTTTTGGATGGCGATTCTTTATTTTAAAACAAAAAAAAAACAATTGTACACAAATACCAAATTAACTGGAAAAGAAAAACGATTTGATGTTACAAGTTTTTAGAAAAATTAAAAGTAGAAGTTTTGTGAATTTAAAACTTCACTATAGATGGAAGGTTTAAAAAGGTCGGCAACAAGCCCTAAATAAGTGAATAAATAACATAAAACATTTAAAGCTATGTATAATCTATCTAATAAAACTATTTTTATGCTTTTTTTCATAAAATCAACTTAAGAGACAGAAAGTTCCCCTAATTGAAGAATCATCCCTTATATCTTGAAAACAATATTGTAAATCAATGCGAGGCAGCATACCTTGTGGAAAGTTGCACAGTTTTTGAAAATCAGCCTGACATCCTCAACAAAGTCCTCAGTGCTCTTGTAATTGCTGTCCTTCAGTTTGCTTCTGATCACCGACAGGTCCATTGGTGTCTTTATTATCTCACTGTACTCTGGCATCGACTAGCATCAAATTTGGAGCGTGAACAAGGAACGGAACAGAAAACAGTCTTTA